ACGAAGCACGGGATCCAACGAACAACACTGAGGAAGCTATGTACAGACACCCTATTAGCATAGGCAGACAGACCAGCAGGCTCTCCATCAAGCCGCTCGGAAGATTTTTTTCACCCATCAGGGAACCATCGAGATTTTTTTACTTCCGGCTGGTCATGTCTTAGGGTCCTCACAAACCCACTAGGGGGGGGAGTGAGCTGTAGCGGTAAATAATTCCCCAAAATTATTAACCACAGCAATCATCACTCAATATTGGATGCTAACCATCACTGTTTAAGTCGACTTGTTTAGCTGAAGGCTTACGGTCAAGCATCCCCGCCATTTGGTGCTCCGTCGTGTCACGTGCGTGCACGATTACTAGCTAGCTAAGCATTCACCTCTACCCGCGATTTTGTCCCGAGATATACTACGTACTTTGGACGACAAAATCTGGTCTTTTGCTTTACCATTTGGTACTCGAAGAACGAACACTATAGAAGTTGTTGGTATAAGATCTTGCGTTAGTATAATCCGTACAACTCGCGAACGTCGATATTTACAGCCCCCTAAACTCCTGTCCATCCCAAGCAAAATACTAAGCCGCATCATCCTGGAGAGAGTCAAACAGGCCAACCTCGACGAAAACTTCGACCGAAACAGGCTGGATTCAGGAGGAACAAGTCATGTATTGATCAAATCGCCACACTACGGATCATCATAGAACAAAGCTTGGAATGGCAGTCACCTCTCTATCTCAACTTCATCGACTTTGAAAAGGCCTTCGACAGACAGTGTCGATCGAGAAGTGATTTGGTAACTACTTCGCTACTATGGCGTGCTACCAACAATTATCCACTCAATACAACAGCTGTACGACAATGCTGCATGCCAAGTAATCCAAAACGGGAAACTTACGGAATCCTTCGAAGTGAGAACAGGAGTAAGACAAGCTGGCTGGCTGCCTACTATCGCCAATGATTTTCCTGATTGCAGTAGACTGGACAATGCGACATACAGCGGGCAATGAGGAAACAGTCATAAAATGGACTCACACAAAAAACTTGGGGGATCTGGACTTCACCGATGATATATGTCTGATTTCCCACAAACTGGAAGATATGCAAGTGAAAAGCAACAAGTTGGCAGAAGAAGCATCAAAGACAGGAATTAGTTCAGGTGAACATAGAGAAAACAGAGATGATGAAGATTCCTGGGCAACACCAACAACAGATAACAATCAGCATAAATGGGAGGAACCTGAAAGAATCAACCTCCTTTACCTATAGACTTAAGAAGCATCGTTTCAACTACAGGCGGAACTGACGAGGATATCAATGCAAGAACCGGAAAAGCAAGACAAGCTTTCACTACTCTCAAGTCTGTGTGGAGGTCAACAGCACTCAGTATGAAAAATAACATCCTGATTTTCAACTCCAACGTGAAGTCAGTGCTACTATGCGGATCAGAAACTTACACTGCGCGTCATAAAGAGCATCTCAAACAAACTACAGACCTTCATCAACAGTTGTCTTCGCTCAATACTCAAGATCAGATGGCCAGAAAAGATCAGCAACAGGGATCTGTGGGAGCGAACCAACCAGGAACCGATTGTGCAACAAATAGACAGGAAGAAATGGAGATGGATTGGCCATACTCTAAGGAAACCATCAAGTGACATCACTAGGCAAGCCATTGCTCGAGTGGAACCCGAAAGGGAAGCGGCGAGTTGGTCGTCCAAGGGTGACTTGGAGGAGGTCATGTGAAGAGGAGACGAAAACGTGTGGACAGACTTGGAGCCAGGTGAAGACTCTAGCAGAGAACCGAACGAAATGGAGACACACGGCTGAAACCCTATGTTCCTCTGGGAATTAAAGGAAACAATAATAATAATGCCTGTAATTGAACTAGTAATGGGGTTAACTTGGACATGCTTATATAGAGGTAGTAAATCTTCCTTAGAAATTATAGACTCGGCACTCACAGTATCAATTATAAAAGAGTGAAACTGGCCTGAACTTGTAGTGAAGGTTTTCGTTAGGTGAAATTGAGTATTGTGAAAAGTTAGAGGAGACATTGATCGCATTTTACCAGACAAATTAGAAGAATCTTGAGTAGCAGACTTTATGTTCCCGATTTTACCACATTTATGGCACTTAGCACCCCGAAAACGGTGAGTGCTTCATAGATAATTCTTTCCACATTGAAAACACGGTTTGATAGTTTTGCTCTCTATCTGCAATATATCACATGTGGATGACAGTTTGGATTTGCTTTTACGAACACTTTTATTATCAGTTTTGGACAACATCAAATCACACACTGAACTAGTGGGAGCTGGGTATTCACTGTTGACATCTTAAGGGTAAATATGTAGTATCTAAATCCTTCGCACTTGGAAAGGTGCAGGAAGGAATCTGAATCAACTCTTTCATTAGCTTTGGGATATTGATCCCAGCAGTTAGACGAACACGTAGTTGAGTATGCAGCTGATCCCCTAATTTGCACTCTGAAGCTGGAGAATAAAGTCTCGAATCTTTTAGTTGGGGGCACGAACAAGTTTGTTGAACTTAACACTCTCTTATATAAATAGAGGCAACATGGAAGTGATCTGAGAACTCGTCATAAACATGCAAGGAAACATTCGACATATGGTGGATGTGGTGATTGATAATTTCTATTACTGTGTTGTTCAAATACGTACTGTTTGTTAACATTTATTGTGTAAATTACAAGTAATTCTGCCAAATACAAATCCTAGCTAATCCGTGTTGTTTTGTTCCCTGCAACTCGGTCATTGATAAATGCAATTACACATAAAAATAACATATTTCAACCAAGAAACAAGTTGTCCTTCTGCTAGCAATCGATGTATAATACTACCAAAGAACTTTGTTATAGCTGCTTATCATTTGAATTGATGTAGCAATATGGAAACAGTAGCAGTTATAAAAATGAGTGTCATTCGATCTAATAGAGATAATTACTGTAGATCTTTGTAAGTGAGCGATATGATCACAGCACTTTAAAAGACTTGGGTGCAAGACTAATACTATAGTAGAATAACTTCATCACACCCAATGTCACCCATCTAGTGATGACGTTTGCAATGAAACTTACTTCTCATAGTCATGTCCTTAATGTGTTTATATCAAATAAAACTATTACTCAGGTCGAGACATGCACCAATTCTCGACGTTTTTGACTTTTGGTTTGAGCCACATAGTGAGTAGGGTAGAGACTGCGTGACTGGGCTCCTGGAGATGTCCGTAACCCATGACTTGAGAGTGTTGGTAGTATGACTCGAAATCATTCTCAACAGCTCAGATGCATTCACTCCTAATGATGCCCCAGATTCATCAAATCGTCAATATTCTTTCTCCTCAATGCCTGCCCCCTTTATTTTAGCTTTCTTTCTTTTCTCTACTTTGTTGAAGCGTTAGAAACCCATGATTAATTTCATAGATGAGAATTTGCGGTTATGTAAGAAACAGTAATATGGTAGATGGGATCTTATGTGGTTGAGTTCAAAGGGGGAAATTATAGATAGTTAATTTTGTCAGTGATTCACATACCTGCAATTTAGGATATGACACAAAATGAATTTATAATCTTCTCACGAGTTCATCACGGACTGATATAAGCAACAAAACCACAGATTTCAAAGAGTCAGTTGTAATCATTGGAATGAGGTAATGTGAATGTTCAAAGAGCGTCAAATAATTATACTGGTATAATGCTACCTAGACTTTTTGAAAGAGACTATGAAGAAGAGCTGAGAAAGAATGCTGTTATTGTTTACATTAATTGATCACTGGGATTTAGAATGTGTTGTTGTGTAGTCCTAAGTGCTGACTGATTTCCATCAGTCAAGTTTGCAATGTTCTTAAGGTGTAGAAGGACGTAATACAGCATTAAAATGTCAGGTGATGAAAAAGTCTATAATCGCTAATGTAGAAATAAAGGCTGAACATACCTTGTCGCAATTACAAGTTAGGCTTACTCGTACTAATTCGCATGCACTTAGATATGAATGAGTGTTTTAGACAGAATGCTCGGTATTCAGTATATTACCGCAAATTCTTCTTGTATTTTCATCCTATAGTCACTGTTCACTGAATGGATTGACGGCGCACTGTGTATTGACCTACTTACTCCTAACTCTCTCAAGCTGAATCAGTACTTCTCCCCACCGCACCCCTACTTACACAGGGACAGATAAATTCTTATTCACGTTGATGCAGTAATTATTAATACATTGTGAATTGATCTGTTCAGCATACAGCTTGATCAGGTATGTCGACATCGAACTGCCCTCGTAGCTAACGCTTCTACTTACTCATTGAATCCTGCCTTATATTTGATAAATTCCTCCTAGTTATATGCTGTCTTAACGTCTCTTTTGCTCCACCAATGCAGTCACGCATCTTATTCTATGGTAGAGACATTGAACTAAATTACTCTTGTACTGCACATAAGTACGAACCGGTGTGGCTGTGTACTGCTAAGCAGTCACAAACTAGGATGAAATGGCTGTTCAGCACTCACTCCCTGCTTTCAATGATTCTCTAAGCGACATCCAACCGTAATCAAACTCGGAATAAACGAACTACCTACACCTACATAGGGACTATAATATTCAGGCGAATTTATCAGATTGTGTTACAAAACTCCATTTCCTCGTCTTCAATAAAACTGCAATTAGAAACACGAGCTGAATCCTTTTATTATATTGATTGCTTTTACATTGAATGAGGAAACCAGAAAACCACAGGGACAATGAAAGTTTGTATTGATCACAGATGAATACATACGTACAAATTAGAATTTGGATTTATAAGTAATTAAGGCAAACGAGATGGTTGTAGAGGGTTATTATATTCAAAATCACCAGTTATAGAGGAGCCAGAGTAATTTTCAAAAAATAAATTTAACAACCTTCAACTCGATACATACATGCATACTGGATGATCAGCCAGAGATACCTCGACTTCCATGAGAGCGACAACGGTGCGAAACGAAGATCATTCGGCAATGTTCGAAGGGACCCAGTAGTCGGTGTTGATACCGAGTCTCGTGAAACTCTAAGACCGTTTCAGAAATAAATAGAAAACAAGAGAGCACTTATATGCAATACTGCAATAAATCAAATTTGTGACAGCAGAGTATGGCTTTACAACTGGAAATAATATGGTGTCTCCAGACTGACTTGACATTGAGTGGAATGTTGGATAACCATTTTCTAACTTGACATGGCCGTAATTACTTGGCAATAGTATTTGATCAAACAGCTTCCCACTTCAAATGTGATTGATTAACACATAATATTTCAATGTTACAGTGTGGCGTAATAAGGGTATAGTGAAAAGAATGGGCAGGTCGATATTAGACCAACTCGTCCCAAGTGACGGCAAAGACTGCATTGTAGAATGCTTTTTTCTGATGTATCGGGTACCACATAAATTGTCGAAAGCATGCAGGTAGCAAAGACTCCAAACAGCAGAGGCTATTGCGTTCCGGTGCTATGTGTGCAGAAGAAACAGGTCCATCCCCTTCTAATGCCCTTACTTTCTATGGAGCCTATGAACTCATGAACTCCATAATATTTTTTTTCCTAATTGCCTGATATGCAGTGTTATGTTAATGCATATTATCACGCTTACAGATGCTATTGAAATGTCGCCTAGTGATATTAATAATTCGATGTTATTTAAACATTAATGTTTTTAACAACCCGAATTCCTTCATTCGAGAGGATATTCTTTGTTCAGCAATCAGTCTTTTGAAATTTGTTAAGGGCGTTTCTGATGAAAAGTGTTAACCATTGTACTCATTTTCTATAGTTTCATTTGTAAGGATTAGTTATGTTTTACGAGTTGATCACGGACTGATATCAGTTAGACAATAGTTGGGGTCGCGCTAAAATCACGAATTGGTAGAAGTTAGAATTCATGAGCCATTGAATCGAATCCCAGTGGCTGAATGGTATACGAGCTTGCCTTGTAACCGGAAGGTCCTGGGTTCGAATCCCAGTGGGTGCGTACTGCCGATGATTCCCAAACTAGGATGAAACAGCAGCTGTCCAGTACTCCCTGGTTTTCAATGGTTCTCTAACTGATATCAGTCCATTGTACTCATGTAATTTTAAACACTGATTAATGAACATAGAATATTCTCTCAGATATATTCCCTACTGCGACTGCCAACGGTTTTCACGAGTCTCATAGAACAATCCCTCTAACTAAATAGTGCCTTCGTCAATCAAGTCAGTTATTTAGCACCACTACTCTTTAACACTCCTGAAGGTGTATCATTAAGCTCTGGTCCTTTACCTCGCTCAAGACTAGAAACCGCTTTCGCAACGTCGCCTACAATTGCAAAATCGATTCAGGCTGAGCTTAGATCAGAGGGGAGCGTAGACCGATTCCAGACATCTCACGAAAAGTTATCGAGAAACCATGCTTCTCAAATTGCTTTTTGAAACGTGTTTCTTTAATAAGTCCAAGTGCTTGACAGGTATCACCTGTTGTTGATGTCCATTTTTCCCACTCTTGTTGGAATATGGGATGACAACCTTGTAGAAAGCTCACCTCATCTCTGTGCTTTCGTAACCTGCTGCATCTACTACCTGACCAAGCATATATTCAGTCTTTACATTATTTTATATTCATCTTTACGCTTGTTAGTGCCTTCATTTACGTCAGTTGTTCTCTACTGTATGAAATTTCAGCTTGTCTGTACTGTTTCGAGTCACTAATCATTTGTTTTCAGAGAACCGGCTTCCAGTGAGATATCTAACATGGCTATTCTGACACTACATGTCACGGCTCAACCTCATTAATTCCAGCGTTTCCACACGGGTGCAAATTAGATGACATGCATGCTTGATTAGAAACTTCAAAAACCTTGTTAGTTTACGCTGTATTTCAAACATATCTATAGAAAAATTGAATATGGTTCACAGGTTAGGTGTGTGCGTTAGGAAAGCGTTCCTAAGAGACTGAAGACTTATGTCAACAGATTTCTTTGCTCGATAATGAATATCATGTGGCTTATCTGAAAGGATAGGTAGGGACTCTGGGAGAAAGTTAACTAGCCAGGAAGCTACCTAACAACAAATGTACAAAGGTAGGTGTAGAAAAATCGGACAAACTCTGAGGAAATCCTCAAGTAATATTGAATGCCGAGACCACGAGAGTAACCCGAAGGGGAAGTGACAAGTTGGTTGTACATTGTGGCACAGAGATCATGTGAAAAGGTAAATGAAAGCTATTTGAAAATAACTACAGATAAGAGCCCAGTAGGGACGTGCCGCTGAAGCCCCAATGTTACCTTCGCAACCAAAGGAACGAACAATAGTAATAATGCCTTATTCCTGATAGCTAAATTAGATAAATCAGAATTTTTGAATTTAAAAGATGCAGAAAATTGTAAACAGGTAAGGTGTAATCGGAGTGATATTATGATCATTAATACTGAGTGTAATCGATTACTGAAGTGCAGTGTAATCATAAAGCGAATGCGAAAGCAATGGATTTAATTTCCAAGATGTACTTGTAACTCGAATGGAAACCTGAAAATCTTAATACAGGGCCACAAATACTATTTTAAAAATATCCTAAGATCGAGCAATTCACCTAGGGGATAAAGAGCTTCAGTGTAAGTTACATGTCAAGGAACACAAAAGAATTTACCTCAGTTAAATATTCACTTGCAGAACATAGCGTATTTGCTGTTTTAGAGTAAATTTTAGTTGGACTATCGAAGAAATTTGAGTTGTCCGTAGATTTTTCTTTGTGAATCATCCGCGACGTATTACAGTCACTTTCAAGACAAATACTACTAGAATGATTAGCATGAGATGATGAATTAGTAGTATGATTTTGAGATACTCCATAACGCTTTATCATGTTTCTTAAACGATATTCCTCAGATTGCTTTTGAATTTGGTGAAAATGATCAAACAATCCATCAAAGTTGATATGTATACCAACCGCATTTTGTGTAGAATACTGATGTTCTGGAGTATGACTAATATAAAAAAGACGAATAGCAGTATCATCAAAGTAAATAACAAATTTATTCATTACTATAAACTTGTCTGAAAATGTACCAATAGAAAAAATGGACGTCCTGAAAAGACTTACATAGACAAAAATTCAAGATAATTTCAAAGAAAAAACTAACTGAAATCCCAGTTTACCATGTCTGTAAACTTGGTCAAGCACGGCAGTGTGTAATTCCATAGTAATTTTTTTTTGGATATATCACACAATGAAAGTTTTATTTAGTGGATGACGTCTCGATTACAATCTACTGTTCATAATCACATGTATTTCTAACTACACTACTTCGAAACTCAATTTTTATGGTTCTCGTTCTTTTTCCCCATTTATCGTAAAGGTGTAGTGCACGTCGCCTATTGCACATATTCTCCGTTGATTCGATGAATAGAGCTCCCGTTGTCAGTTCTTTTCTTCATTGTTTGCTAGATATTGTCAACTTGTGTGTTTGGCTGATTTTGAAGCAAAGAAGAAAATGAATCATAAGTGAAGGAAAGAGAAACTTGGATACAAACCATTCCTAAATTTACAGAGCAGTGTTTCCCGAACATTCAGTTAAATATCGACGTAGTGAAGCTCACTGCGTGCAAAGGAAGACTTTTATATCTCATAACAAATACTGGCACAATAGGGGATGCATCAGACAGTTATCCAGATTATTCTCACTCGAAAAATCTTCAGAACGAAAGTCAGCATGACACTGAATTTTTCTCTACATGAACTTTAATAAAATGTCGTGATTACTCTCAACATGATTGATCAGCAGTTATTTCATAGTTGCCTGGAGACATTTTTTGATTGTATGTGATGCTGATTTGATTCTCATCCGCCAGAAAACCGGATCTACTTTTATGTATCCATTCAATTCAGCGTGACCAAAGTGCTAAGATCCTAAACATTTCCTCATACTCCTTGTTTCTTCAGGCAAACGCTTCATACATTTTCATGATTCGGGTCATCAGTAAGCATTATTATGCATCAGGGGAAAACAGTTGAAAGTTACCAACGAGAAGTAACTAAATGTAAATGTATACATTTACTGAAACAAGCAATCAGGAAAAAGTGAATAGCTCGAAGATGTTTCCTAGATTGATGAATACTTCATGAGGTAACTATCCACTTTAGAGAACACCATATTACCATGAAAGTCATAAATCGAAAACCTGAGTGATTTACAATTTTAACTATTCCTTCATCAATACTGAAAAAGTATAACTTCTTTTCATTAGTAGGTGGCTTGAGAATTTCCATTAACTTAATTCCACTACACACTAGGTTTCGCATAAGTTTTCCTCAGGCTATAACAAAATTAAAAACAAACGAGCAAGGAAGAATGTTCTGATTATATAGTTTTGGCAATAGGTGAAACAGAATTAATGATAACACACAACACTGGTAGACTTTTAATTCTCCATCAATCCGTTTTTTCAACCAAACAAACTTTTTCCACAGGTAAACATACAAATAGAAGAAAAATAAAAATGTCTCCCATTCTGACATATTTGTGAAGACGTACCTTTGGAGTTTTTCAATTTATGAGTCTATTCACTCAAAATGTGTTAAAACAATTAAACAAACCCTATAAAATAGTTTTGTACTTACGCTGAACTTTCTGAAATGCATTCCACGGGCGGTAAACACTGTAAACGTCTCCAAAGTGTCTGAAATGCATCCGTTTGTGGAAGACACATGAGTAAGCAATATAAGGTTTCTCGAAGATCAGTGCTGAAACGTCTATCAAGCATATGCATCCGGAGACCTGAAACAAAGTAAAACAATCACTCATAATAGGCTTTACCGTTTCAATATTATAGAGCTATGTTCACACTACTAAAACTGAATGATAAATATGAACAGTAAAATATGAGAATGTCAGTCTAGATGATAAAAATCTATAAAAACTCAATGTGTCATGCATTTTTTAAGTAAAGTAAAGCCTGCCAAACGATACGACATAGATATTTTTAAATTTAGAAAGTAGTCAATAGCAAAATGTTTACAAAAACTAATTAATAAGGCAAATACATACAGACACATACACAGTTTCAGCATTGTAGTACATCTCAAAATTTCGGAAACTCATTTATTTTGACATAAATATTGCTGCTGATTACTCGTATAAGATTTTCTGTCTGTGCGAACTATTGAAATTTGTGCATGTGTTACACATATCATGTCTTCATCCAGATAAACAGTATACGTATGAGTGTACAGACTGTAACATGCTGAAATCTGGCTATCAATTCACCAAAAGTAAAACTGACACATCTCCAAAAATGCTGATTTTGGGTCTGTCTTTCAGTAATGAAGATTTCTAAAGTAGACACAGATAATAAGTAATACAACTTACTGGTGAATATTGGTGATTCAATCATCTGAATTAACTGGTCCAAATCGTACAACATTTCAACGGTTATAACAATACCTCCACTTGTTGCATAATGATCAAGTGGCGATGCAAGAAACTTAGGTTAAGAAAACAAGCTAATATTTACTTATTATGAAAATAAAATGCTTGAAAGCTGATCAACGCAGAATACCTTGAGTCACAATGTGATAAAAGTAACTCACGGACAACAAACAAACAAACTCTCAGATTACAAATTATAGTGATAGGGCTCCACCAGACACTAAATTAAACACATTCTACTGATGAACTTGAAAAACACAGTCAATCCATCAGAACTACTCATTAAGAGGGTCGATCATTTAGGAAAATATGACATAAGAATACTTGCAAATAAGAAGTTTCAGTAAATTCAGTTGAAAGCTAGTATGATGTTACCACCTACAAACTATTTTGGTAGTTCTATTTCTAATACTAATAAGGAATTACTCAACCTCTACGATTTCGCCTTATGTCGCCTAGCGATTCGAAAATATTTTAATTACTAGGCAAATATTTCGCATGGAATTCCAATTGACACTCCTTTCTTGTGGGAAAAGAAAAGTAATGATGATATGCAAGAGATTGTGTTCAGTCAAAGGATACAATGATTTCACCAAACGGCTACAATGTTTATAATTCTGCGACAACAAACAAAGTGATAATAATGAAACTGGATTATAACACCAGGCTCGGTAAAGTTTTTCAAATAACTGACATTGAGTCTACAAAAGAAAACAAAAACATACGGTTAGCTTAATGAAACGAATGTAGAAGTTCCATTCAATTTTTCATGCATCAAAATTTAGTCAGGGATTGGTGTCATTTCAAGTACATGAGCGTTATAGTTTTGGTTCAGTTAAATAAACTAGGTGTCTACCCTGTTTCTCCACCTAACTATGTTATCTTAATTAATGCTGAGAGTAGATCTATAAAATCGAGAGTTATGTAATTAGTTTTCTTAACGGAGAGTTATTAGTAGAAACTCAAATATATATGTTGCGAGTAAATACTACTATACAAATCATGTATCTATTTATTAGAACTATTTCACAACTGAAGTGTTGGCTGGTTGGTTTCACTCTCTAATATCATAGGAAATATTTCTTAGACATTTGAGGAGAACAAACTATGAGTTGAATTGAATTCACAATAACCACATCTGTTATGCTCGTTTTCTTCACGAAGTGAAATGCGTGTCCAATTTCTTCAGTATATAACATAATGCTAAGCATACAGAAATTTATATATTTCAGAAGTGATCTTAGCTATTTGGTGCTAAGTACTTAAGTGCGATTCGCAAGAGTGGAGGATTATAACTCCATAATGGATAAGATTTTATTTTGTTAAATCACACAGTGTTGTACAGTTATGTTAACTGATGACGTTTCGAGCACAAACTATTGCTCATAATCATATCAAGTTATATAAGTGTGAATCAATCACATTTGAAGTGGGAAGCTGTTTGATCAAATACTATTGCCAAGTAATTACAGCCATGTCAAGTTAGAAAATGGTTATGCAACATTCCACTCAATGTCAAGTCAGTCTGGAGACACCATATTATTTCCAGTTGTAAAGCCATACTCTGCTGTCACAAATTTGATTTATTGCAGTATTGCATATAAGTGCTCTCTTGTTTTCTATTTATTTCTGAAACGGTCTTAGAGTTTCACGAGACTCGGTATCAACACCGACTACTGGGTCCCTACGAACATTGCCGAATGATCTTCGTTTTGCACCGTTGTCGCTCTCATGGAAGTCGAGGTATCTCTGGCTGATCATCCAGTATGCATGTATGTATCGAGTTGAAGGTTGTTAAATTTATTTTTTGAAAATTACTCTGGCTCCTCTATAACTGGTGATTTTGAATATAATAACCCTCTACAACCATCTCGTTTGCCTTAATTACTTGTAAATCCAAATTCTAATTTGTACTTATGTATTCATCTGTGATCAATACAAACTTTCATTGTCCCTGTGGTTTTCTGGTTTCCTCATTCAATGTAAAAGCAATCAATATAATAAAAGGATTCAGCTCGTGTTTCTAATTGCAGTTTTATTGAAGACGAGGAAATGGAGTTTTGTAACACAATCTGATAAATTCGCCTGAATATTATAGTCCCTATGTAGGTGTAGGTAGTTCGTTTATTCCGAGTTTGATTACATCTCAGTCGATGTAATTTCACAGTCTCGTCTATTGACTTCCCCGCCTTACCTAGCACTCGACGCCTAACCTCAATATTGCTCACCTTATCATACCACTTCACACGAGAGATGGAACGCAGACACCTATGATCGAAGACAGCTAGTCTTTTCATGTCTTCCGCTCTCAATGGCCAGGTGTCACAGCCGTAAAGGAGGACGGAAAGGACTTTTGAGCAGTATACACGCCCTTTGGTCGATAGTCGGATATCAAGTCTACGCCAGAAACGGCGTAAACTGGCATATGCGAAACTAGCCCTCTGTATTCACTGTTCACTGAATGGATTAAAGGCGCATTGAAAGCAGTGAGTGAAGCAAGCATCACCAGATAACCTCTCGGTCGACAGAATTGAATTCCGCCTTTAGGTCAAGAAATATAATGATTGTTAGACGCTGGTAGGAATGCCTATATTCTAGAATCTGTCGAAGGGTGAAGATATGTTCAATACACCCTCTTCCTCGCCTAGAGCCTGTCTGGTTTTCTCGTGTTTGTTCCTCCCGAGCACCACTTAGTCTACGCATGGTTATTGAGCCTAGAGCCTAAGATAATATATTAGTAAATCTAATCCCCCTGTGATTATCACAGGAAGACTTGTCTCCCTTCTCGTATATCGGGATGATCAGTGACTTACACCAACCCGATGGGACTTCCTCTGATTCCCAGACGCTGCCTAGAACCTCAGTTAATGCAGACAGAAAACTGTCTCCACCGTACTTAAATACCTCTGGAGTCAGTAAGTCAGGTTCCGCTGCTTTTCCTTGCTTCATATTGGTGACGGCTTTAGTAACCTCAGTTAGGACGGAGGACCTGTGTCTACCTCCCATTCAGGGAGGTGTTGGATGTCCGGCAGGTTAAGTGTGGCTGTGGGCCAATTAAACTGCTCCTCATAGTGTTCTTTCCAGCGTTCCAGTCGTCTATCCTGGGAGCTAATTATGGTGCCATTTTTCTCTGAGATTGTTTCACTTATCATTTGCCTTTTGCCACCTGTTTCCCTGATAAGCCTGAATAGTTGTCTGGTGTTGCCAATCGCCGATGCCTTTTCCATCTCTTTCGCTTTTGTCGCCCACCACTGTTCACGGTCGTTGCGAAGACTTTTTGTTAGTCTTCGTTTAAGTAGCGTTCGCTCCCTATCATACTCGGAGCTCACCGGAATCAGTCTTCTAGCGTCAATAAGTTCGGATGAGGCGGTAGAGATCCGATGGCTTTTATTAACTTTAGGTTTTAGCTTATTGACAACTTTCACGGCTGTGTCCACAGCTAACTGTATGTTGTGCAGGGCTAACTCGGGGGAAGTCCTGCTGTCGACCTCAGTAACTCGTTTCGCTATTTCTTCCTTAAATAAGGACTCAGTGTCTCGATCTAGTTGGGGACGTAACTGTTTCGCTGCCAGCAATTTCCTATGACCATTTAGTCGTAAGCATAAACGTGCGCGAACCAGAGCGTGATCGGAGACTACGCATGTGTTCCAGAAGGAGCGACAGTCTTCTACTGACCCTCGCCAACGATACCCTATGGCTATGTGGTCTATCTGAGTCCAGCGTTGATTTGGTGACGGATGTCGCTTAGAGAATCATTGAAAGCAGGGAGTGAGTGCTGAACAGCCATTTCATCCTAGTTTGTGACTGCTTAGCAGTACACAGCCACACCGGTTCGTACTTATGTGCAGTACAAGAGTAATTTAGTTCAATGTCTCTACCATAGAATAAGATGCGTGACTGCATTGGTGGAGCAAAAGAGACGTTAAGACAGCATATAACTAGGAGGAATTTATCAAATATAAGGCAGGATTCAATGAGTAAGTAGAAGCGTTAGCTACGAGGGCAGTTCGATGTCGACATACCTGATCAAGCTGTATGCTGAACAGATCAATTCACAATGTATTAATAATTACTGCATCAACGTGAATAAGAATTTATCTGTCCCTGTGTAAGTAGGGGTGCGGTGGGGAGAAGTACTGATTCAGCTTGAGAGAGTTAGGAGTAAGTAGGTCAATACACAGTGCGCCGTCAATCCATTCAGTGAACAGTGACTATAGGATGAAAATACAAGAAGAATTTGCGGTAATATACTGAATACCGAGCATTCTGTCTAAAACACTCATTCATATCTAAGTGCATGCGAATTAGTACGAGTAAGCCTAACTTGTAATTGCGACAAGGTATGTTCAGCCTTTATTTCTACATTAGCGATTATAGACTTTTTCATCACCTGACATTTTAATGCTGTATTACGTCCTTCTACACCTTAAGAACATTGCAAACTTGACTGATGGAAATCAGTCAGCACTTAGGACTACACAACAACACATTCTAAATCCCAGTGATCAATTAATGTAAACAATAACAGCATTCTTTCTCAGCTCTTCTTCATAGTCTCTTTCAAAAAGTCTAGGTAGCATTATACCAGTATAATTATTTGACGCTCTTTGAACATTCACATTACCTCATTCCAATGATTACAACTGACTCTTTGAAATCTGTGGTTTTGTTGATTATAAATTCATTTTGTGTCATATCCTAAATTGCAGGTATGTGAATCACTGACAAAATTAACTATCTATAATTTCCCCCTTTGAACTCAACCACATAAGATGCCATCTACCATATTACTGTTTCTTACATAACCGCAAATTCTCATCTATGAAATTAATCATGGGTTTCTAACGCTTCAACAAAGTAGAGAAAAGAAAGAAAGCTAAAATAAAGGGGGCAGGCATTGAGGAGAAAGAATATTGACGATTTGATGAATCTGGGGCATCATTAGGAGTGAATGCATCTGAGCTGTTGAGAATGATTTCGAGTCATACTACCAACACTCTCAAGTCATGGGTTACGGACATCTCCAGGAGCCCAGTCACGCAGTCTCTACCCCACTCACTATGTGGCTCAAACCAAAAGTCAAAAACGTCGAGAATTGGTGCATGTCTCGACCTGAGTAATAGTTTTATTTGATATAAACACATTAAGGACATGACTATGAGAAGTAAGTTTCATTGCAAACGTCATCACTAGATGGGTGACATTGGGTGTGATGAAGTTATTCTACTATAGTATTAGTCTTGCACCCAAGTCTTTTAAAGTGCTGTGATCATATCGCTCACTTACAAAGATCTACAGTAATTATCTCTATTAGATCGAATGACACTCATTTTTATAACTGCTACTGTTTCCATATTTCTACATCAATTCAAATGATAAGCAGCTATAACAAAGTTCTTTGGTAGTATTATACATCGATTGCTAGCAGAAGGACAACTTGTCTCTTGATTGAAAACGTCAGTCCAAATTTCACGTTCTTAATAATTACGGTCATCACTGAGGCAAATTCATTAGTTGTGATGAAACTAGTGTAGAAACAGAAGAAGAAATAGCGTATCTAGGAAAACTGGTCATCATGATGTAGGAGTAAAGTTAAGGATTATTTTATTGTTAACAATGCACTTTTAAGTTTTTAAAAATTCAACTATTTTCACTTACCTTCGTACTGATTGTTCGCAGCTGTTTACGAAAATCATTTAAAACTGGTTGTGTTAGGAGAATTCGATTCAATGCTTGTATTAGTACAAATGCAGAATCCAGTGGTTTAATATAAGAAATAATTGTAGAAATGGTGCAATAAACGATATCAGCTCCAAGAACCTGACAAAGATCACTAGACGGAAATCAAAACAAACAAGTCAATAGAAACTCACGTGAAACTCTAAAATATAAACACAAAAAACATGCTGACTTTCAATACATCTGATTTTGCAAATATAAAACCTGTCCTGGGTGTACATAGATTCCTGAACAGTTAGGCAAATGGATTATTTTTGAATCACTATACAATAATTTAATAGTAAATATTTCAATAAATAATAATCTATGATAGCTGAACAGATAGATACATTGTTTTGTATTTTCTCATCAGATTTTATATAACTACCACCTGAAACATTCCTCGAAAACAACCATTCGATACTGTTACAGTTAATAAAATTCCAGTTAACAAATAAGGACTAGAGCACAAAATAAAGATGAAATAAGAATGAATGAGTTCTTATGTAAATAGCGAACGTCTATCCGAAAATTTCTAAAGCTTAACGGAATGAAACTAATTCCGGACTAATGACTTAACACCAAACCTGAGAAAATTGACAGCTAAGAACATTCCCGGCGTTAAAACCCAGTGTCAACCAGGCATTTCTAACATGGTCTAAGTCAACAGTCAAAACTTCAAGTATTCATGCCACGTTCTGTTATCACAAAACCTCACTCTTTTTCAATATAGTGTTATATCAGCTAACATTGCTTGTCGAGTAAGGCGACAGATCAGTCTGCGTAACACATGTCTTAGTCATTTTGCTACCCACACGTAACTTCGCCATCTCACTGATTTAGTTTCCCTCCTAACGTAACACTCTACATCTAACAGCATTATTCCTCACCATAGTATATATATCAACACCAAACCTACCTGAGAGATAAGATGCAGACACCAATGATCAAAGACAGTCATTCCCTTTATACCTCCCACTTTCAACGACCAGATGACGCAAAGAGGGATGTAGTGAACTAACGTAAGTCCTTCATTGGATAGATGGATATCACGATTGCATCGACGACGACGCAACTTAGTGAGTAAAAAACGCTGGTTTTGTAGTGGCGCTGAGATTTCATCAGTATACAGTTGATTTTAGGGGATGCAACTTCACAAATAAGTTAAAGGTCAACACGTTTGACCATTTGTAGTTTCTATTCTTAAACCAGCAGTCAGTACAGCACTATCTTTATTTGAAAACAGAGGATTACTTTGAGTTTTGCTCAAGTTGTCTCGAGTTCCCCGCGTTTTGCCTAATTTTTTACATACGAGGACACTATCTTCTGTCTACTCGAAATCAGCGACACTTTTGCCTAATGACAAACTAATTCTTGAAACATCGAGGTCAACGATGAAATCAAGCTGAAGATGACAACATCCCGCGATTTAAAGTAGGGTGCAATACACTTTCTCAGTAATCCCGTCACATCCAGTCATTTCCACATCACGTTTTGACAGACAGAGTCAAATCTCGAGTTCACGTCAAGAAAGATTACAAATGTTAGTCAATAGTCGATGGATGTACACCATACAGTTCATTTATTTGATCATGACTTGCTAGTTGTGTCGTCATAGTTTTAACAATGGAATCGATTTGTTAGTAAAGGATTTTTGAAAATATAAATGACTAAATATAGGAATTCCCATACACAACGGTATGATAAACGTTCTGAATCAATGTACACCTAACAATCAAAATATCCCTTAATACAATATCAGTCAAATAAAAACTATAATAATCATTTATTACGTGATAATCATATCTCCCCGTTTTCGTAACAACTCGGGATCCTTGTTGAATAAATGAATTAGATCCAAGAGAAATTGTAGACAAAATGTATTCGGAGTCGACTGTGGCACACCTACAGAACTGCTGGCTATTCGATCACTTGATCGTGTATTAACAAAATCTGATTCGTGCAGTAATTCCAAAAGTTCTTCAGGCATAATAATAGACTGTTTGCTTAAATAATCCCCATCGGAATTGATTGTAAGGTAACTCAGTCTTCCAATCAACCAAATCGTTGAATGTACCATCTATGAAAATAAAACAGTGAAATAAGAAACCATTGCTATCATCATTTTAAATTTGGCATAAAACACTTTTATCCCATTTTAGTGAGGAAACCTACTTCATCAGCAGGATCGGAAACTAACTTGAGCATTTCCGGCAGAAGACGATCAATTTGTGAAAATACTTCAGCGGAGCATACTTCTGCAAGCACAGTAATCCAACGAAGTGCTGCTAAACGAGTTAACAGGCTTGAATTATTGAGAAGTTGGAACGTGACTTCTAATATAGCTTCCGAACACAAAATTTGTGATCCATTTTGTTCTGCACCTGATTCTGAAAGTTGCTTAGTTAAGTTGTTATCCTGTGAACTGTAAGCGAAGGTAAATTAAAGACACTTTATTGATCTTATCTCCCAATAATACATAGTATACTGTCATACACGAACTGCTAAATAGTCTCTTCAAAACATCTGTCAATAACCACTCCACGATTACGACTGTCACTACTGTCAGTTTTATTTCCTAGGTGAAAATATTCATGAAATAAAAATTCCGCAGCACAGGAATTTTCAAAATACGTTTTGTTGGATTAGAAAAATGCATATGTCACTATTTTTTCCTACTTTTTGTGAGGCTGAAAACAACGCATTATTGTAGTTCTGAGTTCAAAATCCTTTCACAAGGAAGGCACATCTAAGAATATGTGGTTGACAATAAACACTAATTTCACGACACACCGAAACTCAAAAACTACTAGCTATTTCACTCCTCGCAGATACAAAAGTGAGATAATGTCAAGAAGTACGTAAACAGGATACACATCCTACATTTTGTTATGTTAAACAAACACAACTGCATGCAAATATTTCATGTATGAAGAGAAAGCTGTAGCGGTAGATAATTCCCCAAAATTATTCGCCAAAGCATTCATCACTGAACAGTGGATGCTGGCCGTCACTGTTTAAGTAGACTTGTTTAGCTGAAGGCTCACGGTCAAGTATCCACGCCATTTGATGTGCTGTCGTGTTACGTTCGTTCGTTCGTGCACGATTCCTAGCTAGTTAAGAAGTCATCCTCGTACCACGATTTCTCCCAAAATATATTTCATATTTTGGACGATCGATTCGGTGTTTTGCTTTGTTTTTGGTTTACGTGGAACGAATACTATAGGAGGTAGGGGTATTATATATTGCGTTAGTATACATCGCGCTATTCTTGAACGTCAACACCCTCAACTTTTAAAAAACTGATACATTCCATACAATTAAAACATATCAATCCAACACATATCAAAACTTACAGTTTGACTACACTCTCCGACTGATTTCCTGAATTTAGTGAATCCATATGAGAGATTGATGAACTGTTTGTATTCACATTAGTCACTGAACGTGAATTGAACTGCCTAACAGCTTTCAAAAGGGTTTCGTTTATGCATACAGCAGTTTCTAGTGAAACTTAGAACAAAAATAACGACGAATACACAATAAGGAACAACGGAAAGAGTAGATTTGATGTAAACACAATCAATTAAGTTAGTACACACTTAACGGAAAGGTAAGGATCAAAGTGAAAAAGAGAGGTAATAGTAACAAATATCTCTAACTAAGCCAACAAAATACGAATTTTATTCAGACAAGCGATGCCAAGTATTAATATTACTCAAATTACTAAGCGTGAGCTGCAAGATACTTAGGAAGATAATGAGAATGAAATTATACTTCAAAAAGTGTTCATCTAAATATTTCCCAGTTCCCAACACTATTTATAAATAATAAAGCTGGATAGCCAAAGCTAGGGGAATAACAATAAATTACGCTATCTGTTGTGGGAAACGGATATGGTCAAACAATACAATGACAATCCCTTTGTCATATACTTCCTTGGAATTTATCACTCCTTCGTAATTACGTTGGAATCCAACTGCATCTTGATGATTAATCTTACGATAATTAAATGTATTATTAAAGGCAAAAGTGCTCGTAGAAAGAGTTAAATAACTTCGAATTATTATAGAACAAACGACAGTAGCACTGTAATTACAGTAACTAGTGGTTCTTCTTCCAGCTGACTCAATAAATAAATATAGTGGAAATTGAAAAGGATATACGAAGATACTGTATACGTGACGCCAGCCCTACTTCCAAACCGTAACCCTCCCTAACACGTAATTATTCGAATGTAATCTTTTCTACGCCAAACGTAATAGCACCATATGAAAACAAACTTGTTAGGAGCTTCAAATTTTAAACTAGTGAATCACCAATACAGCAGATCAAAAAATATATATCGAAAAGAACTTCATGCATTCGTTTTAAGGAGATCACTATGCGAAATTCTATAGTCAAATGTGCTCTATCAAGAAAGAAATAAAGACAGATCTCTAGGCAACACGGATAAATTGGTTTCCAAAATATTTACATGGAAGACAATTTTAAATTTCTGAGACAAGATATTTATCCAAAGCTAAACAGTAAAGCCAATACTCCGTCACTATATAATCTGATGAGCATTAACGCTAACATGTAATAGCTTTTTATTTTTTCTAAATGAGTGCCTACAGAAGTGCAAAATTAAACGTTTTTCTTGATGATGTTTTACTATTACTTAAGGTATGCGCCAATTTTCCAGTTTCAAAGACACATTATACAAATTTTTGTTTGAGAGTATGACATCAAATGGCTTCGAATTTCGTGTTCTGAGGAATATATAGTTCTCACTTAAAAAGATAAAACGTGGATCCCATCACCTCTGAAACGATACAAAACTCAGGGAGAACAAAAATCGTTCGGTAACACGATTGAAAACCAAATTGTTTCCAAAGCTTACCTCGTCTTTCCGCTGTAGCATCATGCGGTCCACAGGACATGAAACATGGTAGAACAGCACCAATAATTCCTGAAGCATAGGAAAGCATATGATGTGGATCCAATTCAACGAAGGTTTTAATCCATTTCAGAGCAGCTCGTTGTTTTAACTGGTCTGGGGAACAACTAGTAATTCCATTTCTCGACGCGGCTGAATCCAAAACACTTGGTGTATTCTGCAGTAGACTAACACTTTGCGCTGATGTATCAACAACGACTGACGATCCAACAGAATTTGGAAACTGCGATGTGGGTGGTGAAGAGGATTTTAATGCAACATTGACGAAGGAACATGCTACAAAAAAAGAAGCATGCAAATGAACCAAACAAACAACGGACACAAAATTCGACTACAGGTAATAAAAGGAAACATTTTAAAAATGACAACTGATAAAATTACCTCATATAAGGAAAGTAAGTGAAATATCCCGATGCCATGCCCAAGTCTAATCACCCTAAACTACAAAATGTAGAATCTTCTCGTTCAATCAGCCTGAAAACATGAACAGTGAAATCAAGCAATAGATAGCAACATGGGAAATAAATTCCTATTGCAAAGCATTTCACTCCTTATGTTCAAGCTACTACCAGTTCTATAGCATTATCTTATTTTGACAGGGACAGAGTGCACATCAAACATACCCAGGTGTTTATTCAGAATTTTCAGAACACTATATTTTGTCAGTGGTTGCGTACTCAAAATTGATGAGCCATTTTAAGGGTAGAGATTCCACCATGTCGACAGGAGCCACAACCATCAGTGAAATTATACAAAAACGGTGGTCATCCGAATCCCGAATGTGTAATGTGTTGTCATAACTTCTGACGACAACTTAAGATTAGCTATTTCGCCGATACACAACTTCAGCACAATTACATTGAATAACATAGATTACGTTGACAGCATTCGTTCGAAAGCTCAAAATAACAACTAAGACAAAGCAGGAGACATATGAAACTACATCATCCAAATGTGCATTGATTTCCGGGCACATATAAGCATGATTCTCTAATTTTTGTCTATCTCACTTGACATTTGGTGCCTGCAATTTTGGTTAATGCTGCGTTAGTTAAACTGATTCCCTGGTGAATATCACAGGAGGATTACTTCCCTTTCTTATAAAACGGAATGCCCAGTGATTTTCACCAGTCTCATAGAACAATCCCTCTAACTAAATAATGCCTTCGTCAGTCTAGTCAGTTATTTAGCACCACTACTCTTTAACACTCTTGAAGGTGTATCATTAAGCTCTGGTCCTTTACCTCGCTCAAGACTAGAAACCGCTTTCGCAACGTCGCCTACAATTGCAAAATCGATTCAGGCTGAGCTTAGATCAGAGGGGAGCGTAGACCGATTCCAGACATCTCACGAAAAGTTATCGAGAAACCATGCTTCTCAAATTGCCTTTTGAAACGTGTTTCTTTAATAAGTCCAAGTGCTTGACAGGTATGACCTGTTGTTGATGTCCATTTCTCCCGCTCTTGTTGGAATATGGGATGACAACCTTGTAGAAAGCTCACCTCATCTCTGTGCTTTCGTAACCTGCTGCATCTACTACCTGACCAAGCATATATTCAGTCTTTACATTATTTTATATTCATCTTTACGCTTGTTAGTGCCTTCATTTACGTCAGTTGTTCTCTACTGTATGAAATTTCAGCTTGTCTGTACTGTTTCGAGTCACTAATCATTTGTTTTCAGAGAACCGGCTTCCAGTGAGATATCTAACATGGCTATTCTGACACTACATGTCACGGCTCAACCTCATTAATTCCAGCGTTTCCACACGGGTGCAAATTAGATGACATGCATGCTTGATTAGAAACTTCAAAAACCTTGTTAGGTTACACTGCATCTCTGAGACTTTAATTACGCAACAGTTAAGTCAGAATTTACAATGATGAAACATAACTCGATACTGAAGTACCTTACAAAAGACAATGCACCCGTTGGACTATCACTAAAACGATATTATATTGCTTATTCTATTCTTCCTTTCTTTTTTGTCTTATAGAACACCAAGATTTCCGTTTACACTATATACATTTCCCAACTCATGTTTTACATCCTAATTATTGCAGGTTTATGAACTTCAAAGCAGTAACGTAAGATGCAAATGTTCATCTGTAGAAAATACCTTCACTTACTAGCTATTATAAGCATGGAAAAAGTTCGTTATGCGGATACGAAAGCATTTGACTTTTAAGTAAAAGAAATGAATCCTTGGTTATTGAAATATTTACTTACTTACTTTACTTTACTTCGGCTATCTCCTACGGGAGGATGAGCCGGCTTCATGAACATCTCGAATCATGGTGAGAGTCGTTTGTGAGGGAGTTCATGAAGTTTCATGGGAATTTGGTACGAGTGATGTCCCCAGAATCGCTCGGCCTTTTGTTTGAGAGTGCAGCTCTAGCCTTTACACAACCAAGTGTGACCTACAAGGCAGTAGGAGTGGAGTAGGGAGTCCACTATCCATTGGCAGCCGGTGACCGGAGTTCGGTTCATACGCCTTTTTGAATGGGGCCAGACATCCAACAAGCCCTTTGTCCATAGGTCTGCTGGTGAGCTCCAGTGAGATTCATACGCCAGTCGTTGGAGGTTTGGAATCAGGGTTTAGCCATCTCCCCTAGACTGTCATCCAATGGACAGTCAACCCGGTGAAGAGCGCCGGGCATCCGCTTTCGCCCTCTCACTTTGGTGAAAAACACCTCCGCCACGTGAAGGCAGTGAGTGGGACTTCCTCAGGAGAGGCTATGTAAGACGCCCGGTCATATGGGAGCATTTCAAGAGGTGTGCGGAGGGGTGGCCAACCCGCAGCGCAAGGCACCCACCCCCGACCATCCTGAGGCTTTGGAAATATTTACCTCAGACTAAGTGAAAACTGTCTCAGAACAGAAATAAAAACAAGGAAATCACCTGTTGCAGAAAGTCGACAATGTACTATTAGACAGTTGATCATCGTATCCAAAGCAATTTCACTCGGATTAGCCTCTATCTCTTTTAGCAGGTCCGTTAGCAGCAATTCACACCTAATAAACAAGGAAAATGAATCTTCTCAAATTGAAACTAAATAAGAAAAGTCAACTGATTAGTAATAGAATGAACAATTGAAATAACAAATACATGCACTTAAATAAAATCAACTGGAGTTTCTCAAAAAAGGAAGCCAGGACTCAACAGCAGTTAAAAAGTCCGACTAACCAAGATTGTTCGTTTAACAAATTAGCGTTCAAGAGCGAACTCTTACTGGCACTACACGGGTGCGAAATCAGTTAATGAGATACAAACTATGCCTGTATAAATTGATAATTGTATATTAGGTGAACAATGGGAAGAAAACATTTTCTAACCGAAATCAGCTCAATAGTAAAACCACATTTCAAAGATATGAAAATTGTCAAACAATGTGAGTAGCTTCAAAAAGCAACAACTTAAACTTCCTTAAGAGCAGTGGAATTATCATATCCACAATATTTACATTACATAATGAAATTAGACAACGAATGTAAGTCACATTTCCTAAAAAATCTCCAAAATATATAATTCGGACACCTAAAACACGTTACCTACGGCAAAACAAGTGAAATTTAAAATCCCTACACACAAATGAGCATTCAAACTTTCCCAATACTTGCGTTCTAATAAAAGTTTTTTGTGACGGAATTACTAATAAACACATCCCGTTTTTATTTCCACAGTGAGTAGGTAGACTTAAACAAAAACCCCAGCCTTCTGCAGCAACGGTACAGAAGCAAATGTTCATTACCAACCGGTAAAGTAATGTAACTCTCACTTTCATGCGTGATGCAACACCGTTATCAGTAAACTGACACAGTACAAAAGGTCGCTGATAAGCACACACGAAGTATACCACCTATATTCAGTGATGCGCAAGTCATTCCAAAAACTATAAAATACTTCTACAGAGCTATCTCAAATGCAGCATGAACTAACAAGGTTTTTGAAGTTTCTAATCAAGCATGCATGTCATCTAATTTGCACCCGTGTGGAAACGCTGGAATTAATGAGGTTGAGCCGTGACATGTAGTGTCAGAATAACCATGTTAGATATCTCACTGGAAGCCGGTTCTCTGAAAACAAATGATTAGTGACTCGAAACAGTACAGACAAGCTGAAATTTCATACAGTAGAGAACAACTGACGTAAATGAAGGCACTAACAAGCGTAAAGATGAATATAAAATAATGTAAAGACTGAATATATGCTTGGTCAGGTAGTAGATGCAGCAGGTTACGAAAGCACAGAGATGAGGTGAGCTTTCTACAAGGTTGTCATCCCATATTCCAACAAGAGCGGGAGAAATGGACATCAACAACAGGTCATACCTGTCAAGCACTTGGACTTATTAAAGAAACACGTTTCAAAAGGCAATTTGAGAAGCATGGTTTCTCGATAACTTTTCGTGAGATGTCTGGAATCGGTCTACGCTCCCCTCTGATCTAAGCTCAGCCTGAATCGATTTTGCAATTGTAGGCGACGTTGCGAAAGCGGTTTCTAGTCTTGAGCGAGGTAAAGGACCAGAGCTTAATGATACACCTTCAAGAGTGTTAAAGAGTAGTGGTGCTAAATAACTGACTAGACTGACGAAGGCATTATTTAGTTAGAGGGATTGTTCTATGAGACTCGTGAAAACCGTTGGCAGTCGCAGTTGTGAACATACCTGAGAGAATATTCTATGTTCATTAATCAGTGTTTAAAATTACATGAGTACAATGGTTAACACTTTTCATCAGAAACGCCCTTAACAAATTTCAAAAGACTGATTGCTGAACAAAGAATATCCTCTCGAATGAAGGAATTCGGGTTGTTAAAAACATTAATGTTTAAATAACATCGAATCATTAATATCACTAGGCGACATTTCAATAGCGTCTGTAAGCGTGATAATATGCATTAACATAACACTGCAATACACTGTATATCAGGCAATTAGGAAAAATAATAATATGGAGTTCATGAGTTCATAGGCTCCATAGAAAGTAAGGGCATTAGAAGGGGATGGACCTGTTTCTTCTGCACACATAGCACCGGAACGCAATAGCCTCTGCTGTTTGGAGTCTTTGCTACCTGCATGCTTTCGACAATTTATTTGGTACCCGATACATGAGAGACAAAATTTTTTATCTTATTATCAAGAATATACATGATCAATAAGAATATGAAGTGGAAAATAGTCAACTTAAGCACAGGTTTCAAGGGTGAGTGTAGTCAGTGATGTGTGAGACAATATGGTGGCTTCAAAAAAATAAACTCATGTAATTTTTAACTAATTAATAAACATAGAATATTCTCTCAGATATATTCACAACTGCGACTTTCACCGGTTTTCACCAGTCTCACAGAACAATCCCTCTAACTAAATAGTGCCTTCGTCAATCTAGTCAGTTATTTAGCACCACTACTCTTCAACGCTCCTGAAGGTGTATCATTAGGCTCTGGTCCTTTACCTCGCTCTAGACTAGAAACCGCTTTCGCAATGTCGCCTACACTTGCAAAATTGGCTCACAGCGAAATGAATGAGAAATGTGAACTCTTCGTAGACTTCTGTGATTCTGTGATTGAAAGCACTGTGTACAAGCATGAGTAAATGGACAAGGCTATATAGGTTTCTCCAGAACTCAGATAAACTTTATCTCAATTCCGAGAAAGTGGAGACAGTCTGTTGGACACGAAGTCGGGAAAGGGAGTAAAAGTCGCCTCAGACCAACACCTAGTGCGAGGAACATTCAAGGTCAAGCTGAAGGCTTTCAAAACAACAGGAGACAGACCAAAATTCAAGTCCAACACTCAGAAACAGAAAGACTCAACTGCAAATGACACCTTCACTCCAGCCATCATAGTAAAGCCGGAGACACTACGCAGCATCAGAGAGGAAACCTGTGTGGAAGAACGTTGGAATTGTCCGAAAGTGGTGTTCAAGGGAACGTGTACAACCGTTTCAGGAAGGAAGAAGAGGCTAGACAATTAATGGCGCTCTACGGACACATGGAAGCTAACAGAGGAGAGGAGGATGGTGAAACAGAAGCTGAACCATGCAAGATGGACAGCAGAAGGAGAAGCTGAGTTCAATGCATATCGCACTGAATAAAGAAGTGCAGAAGAGACAAAAACACAATTCTACGACACACTGGCAACTGAAGCAGAGCAGGTCAGGCCGCAGGTAACAGACCTCAGAACACTATTTCAATTAACCAGATTACTATCCGGGAAGAGATCAACTCAGATGGAACCAGTAAAAGATGGTCAATGGAACCTAATTGTCCAAGAGCAGAGACAAAGAAAACAATCGGCTGATCACTTCAATGGACTCGTCAACCGACCATCACCTGAAACTTGTCCAGAAATATCAATACCAGAAGGCACAGAACTGCCAGTGGACACCAATCCTCCAACGAAAACACAAGTCTTGAGTGCAATGAAGCTACTGAAGTCCGGGAAGGCAGCAGAACCAGACGGTATTCCTCCAGAAGCACTGAAAACTGATTTAGAAGTCACAGCGGCTATCCTTACACCACTGTTGCAAGAAGTTTGAAAGGCAGGAAACGTACCTATTGAATGAAAGAAAGGCTACCTCATCGGACTACCAAAGAGGGGAGACTTAGACCCTTACAAGAACCTGTACGGAATTATGCTCTTGTCCACATCTAGCAAAATATTAAGTCGTGTCATCTTGGAGAGACTAAGGGAAGCTCTGGACTCGAAAATCCATCCGGAACTAGCTGAATTCAGAAAAATCTAATCATGTGCGGATCAAATAACAACCCGATGCATCATCATACGACAGAACACAGAATGATAGTAAAACCTCCACCTCAGCTTCATCGCCTTTGAAAAGACTTTCAACATCGTTGACCGAGAGGTATTTCAACACTACGGAGTGCCCAAAACTTTTATCAACCTCATTCAACAGGAATATAACAATCCCGCGTGTCAGATAATCCACAACGGAAAGCTCAGAGGAACCATTGAAGTGGAGACAGGAGGAAGACAATGCTGTCTACTATCACCGACGGTATTCCTAGTTCTGGTGCACTGGACTGCGTGCGAGACTGTGGGGAGAGAGAAGACGGGAATATGCTGGACCAATAGGAAGACTCTAGAACATCTAGATTTCAAGGATGATTTATGTACAATCTCACACAAGCTCGAAGACCTACAGGCGAAAACCAACAAATGGGTAGAAGATGCTGGCAACGAACGGAGGTAATGAAAATAACCAACCAATAACAACAACCAGCACAAATTACTATCAACAGAAGAAATTTGAAAGAGGTTACTTCCTTCACTTGTCTGGGAAGCATCGTTTCAGCTAGGGGTGCAACGGGCGGGGTTGTCAAAACCAAAATCAGAAGGCACGATAGACGTTCATCACTCTGAAATCAGTTTGGAAATCTTCTGACTAAGAATAGAGAACAAAATTCGGATTTTCAATACCAATATTAAGTCAGTTAGTTTTTCCATATGGGTCAGAAAATTCGCTTGTCACAGGAAGTATTTCCAACAGCAAGCTGACGACTTTTATCAACAGCTGCCTTAACTCAATGCTGAGGATCAAATGGCCGGCCGGAAAGAATTAGCAACAAGAAACTCTGGCAAGGAACCAACCAAGAACCTATCGGTCAAACAATATTCCAAAGAAAATGGAGATAGATCTGGCAAATGCCGAAGAGACTTACGAATGACATCGCGCGCCAGGCCGTCGCTCGTAAGGAACCTGAACAGAGGACAAGGATTTGGGAATCTAAGGGTGACGTGGGGGATGTGGGAAACTACGGTCAATCATAACCACAGCTAAAGAAAGAGGAGAATAATAGGAAAAGGTGGAGATGTGCTGACAAAGCCTTAAGTCCCACTCCGAAACGTAGGGAAAGATGATATTAATACGATGTTCGTCTGCAGAGGGGATGTCCAGAAGGCAAACGCTCACAATTAAGATAATTACCTCTAACTTGAGCAACAGCCGAATAGCTTATCGACAGTTGTCGTCAGAAGTTATGACAACACATTACACATTCGGGATTCGGATGACCACCGTTTTTGTATAATTTCACTGATGGTTGTGGCTCCTGTCGACATGGTGGAATCTCTACCCTTAAAATGGCTCATCAATTTTGAGTACGCAACCACTGACAAAATATAGTGTTCTGAAAATTCTGAATAAACACCTGGGTATGTTTGATGTGCACTCTGTCCCTGTCAAAATAAGATAATGCTATAGAACTGGTAGTAGCTTGAACATAAGGAGTGAAATGCTTTGCAATAGGAATTTATTTCCCATGTTGCTATCTATTGCTTGATTTCACTGTTCATGTTTTCAGGCTGATTGAACGAGAAGATTCTACATTTTGTAGTTTAGGGTGATTAGACTTGGGCATGGCATCGGGATATTTCACTTACTTTCCTTATATGAGGTAATTTTATCAGTTGTCATTTTTAAAATGTTTTTTTCGTGTTGATGACTATGTGTAATTTTTATCTGATATTTTTTATCTACTCAATAATCATATGACTAACTGACTGGTCTCAACACAGAAATTTGCAGAAAAGTGCAGCAGTACGAGTTGCTACACTCCATATAACACAGAAAGGAAGACTACAGAGATGCAAAAGAACGACAATAAGCAGAAATGTGAGAGAGAAACAGTTGTAACCTAGAAAAACTATAGGGTTTAAATGATATGGGAAATCATATAGAGTGAATGCATCTCCGTCATTGAGAAAGATTTTGTGCCATATCATTACTAGTCTCTAGCCATTGGTTCTTAGCGTCCCGAGAACCCCAACCCCGCAGTCTACAACTTCCTACGCGTTTCAAACTAACTGTCAAAGATTTCGTGGGTTAATTCCATATTTTAGTGTGACCACCACTAGCTCTTTTCCAACCTATCCATTCTATGCCAACTAACAATGCCCGTCAATGAAGGCGATGACGAGGCATGTGTAACACATGTCCCAATCATCTCAGTCGATGTAGCCTATTAACCTCATCGACAGATTTCCGCTTTCTACCTAACACTCGACGCCTAATCTCAATATTACTCACTCTATTAAACCATTTCACATTGGAGATAGGACGCAGACAGACGTGATCAATGACATCTAGCTTTTTCATTCTTCCACTTCTGATGACCACATCTCACAACCGTGAAGGAGGATGGATAGAACTGCCGAGCAGTAAACACATCCTTTGGTCGACAGCCAACTATCATGTCTACACTGGAGATGATGCAGGTTGATAAGTGCCAAATGAGCCTTTTGTATGCGTGCTGGGATTTCGTCAGCGGTCAGCCCGTTGAGGCTGGTGAAACTTCGCAAATAATTGAAGTAGTCAACACGCTCTGCCACTTCACTTCCTATCTCTAGAATCTTGTTCAAGTGTTTCGAAATTATTTAGGACGGACCAGATTTAATTTCCCTGATTGACAATATTCCCTTATCTCCAGCTGACCTTACACGTCTATTTATTGCAATTCCATTCAATTTCTCTCTCCTCCACTTTGAAGATCATTCATACTACGACGACGGGTGTTTTGCCACAAAGCTGCCAAAGGACTTTTCTCTCGATTTATAATCGATTCAGTATACACAATAGGGAAGTGAAACCCTTATTAAGGCATCTACGTGAGAACCATTGAACGGGACTAAACAGACTCAGTGTGACACTTAATGTTTCAATTTGGTGAAACGTGCTAAAGAAAGCATGATTCAAATACGCATTTAATCCACTTGACTTACTGTCTTCTTATATCTGGATTTGGGTCACCAAGTATGCGAAAAAGTCCATCTAATAATTGTGGTAAATAAACACAAACCCTTAATCCTGGAATTGAATAAAGTGTAGTAATCTGAAAATAATAGCAATAATAACAAATGTTACAATGCAGTAATATTAATAATAATACACATGTTTTTCCGAAATACATGAACTAAAAGAACTATAACACCATGTACACTATTGAAAACCATTTTTAAGGTGAAATTAGTATCGGAGAAGGAAATGTTAGCTTAGTGGAGGTTTTTAGGAAACAATGACTCTATTGCAGTGATAAGACACAATAAAATTTCAAATTTTGTGACACTGTTCAACAGTGTACTGAAAATCTTAGTAACACTGATTTTGCAGGAAAGTCATCCAATAAGAACAGAAAAATTCGTGAGATGACTGTACATATCTTATGCTATACGTGAATTTGTCCACCGACCAGAAATATTTTCTAATGGACTATAGCCTGATCTGGCGTTGTGTAATCACCTTTATCTCAACACAGTAGCCTTCTCACGAGGAATACATAACTACAAACTAATCCCCATAAACCTAGTTTGTAAAATGATTGACTAATCAATAGAATAACAACCGTTTATATGCAGTATACTAATAGACTCACCCACGAAACAATAAACTGCCGTGTATATGGATTATTTGTATATATCCGTTCCTTCAGCAATGCAACGACGTCTGTTAAGTCTGAAATATCGGTCTCCACGATGATCTCTTTTAAAAGTCTATCACAGTGCATCGCTCCAGGCCGGACAGTTGAGTCAGAGTCAGATACACCCTGAAAAAACGAAAATAGAGTAACACTATTTGAGGAAATCAATAAAGTTATCTACGCTCAGCAGATGATGGATGTCATAAAATCTAACATTAGAACTCCAACCTACTCATTCAAGCAGGTGATTCGCAATCTATGAATTCAATATTTTGCGATAAGGTACTCATATCAAATGATCAATAACTATTGCAAGAAAAGATTCAAATCAATAAAAAAAAAGTTGACATTCAAACGCTTCTACATTCAGTTTAGAACAAACATGTAACAACAGAGTCAATAAGACACAAAATCCTTCCGAGAAATGCAATTTCTATGAGCACAGAATCTAATAATACTGGCTAACGCTTCGGGTTCCTACAACTTACAATCAGCTAGTCCAACTGATTGTCAGGTCAACGTTGAATTTTTGCACTCGAATTCATCGATTCAAACTGGCTACACTACACAATAACAGATAAGGTAAGAGGATAAAACGGTTAAATGAAGCTTCCGAAGAATTAGAAACCGACAAATGACTCCATCTAACGTGTTGGAAACTATTCCGAGTGGTTTCACTATGAATCTCTAAATACTTACTCTTAACACTTCGAAAGCTACTGATAGGTGACCTATCTAAACAGCTCAGACCAACCGTTAATTCATCCAAGAACTAGTCGCATGTTTTGGACTGTAACATACTTTAACCATCATTCGAAAAAGGGTGATAACTTAACTGAATAACTTGCTTTCGCTTAGGACGCGTTACCCAGCCCCCGACTTCTTGAACAAGTTAAGTTAGTATAAAGTTGGAAAATAACTGAACTGCTCGAGCTGAATTATTATCAAAAGTCTACTAATTCAAGTTCCCAAAGGTAATAAAAGTACATATAAGTACACAAGAGAAACTTGATGAAGCTGCAATAAAGGAAAATCTACGGGTGAAAGTGTAATTACAGGAAGAAAACTGAGTATCTTCAGAATCCGAAATACCATAAGGAGTGAATACATCTGCATCACTAAAAACAATTTGGACCATGTCACCAGTGACTCTTAATACCTCATTAATCATTTAGATTACGGATACGCAATCCATGTGTTCATTGTCGACTCAATGACTAAAATCATTGTCAGGTAATGTCCCCTTATATTTGAAACTAGTAGCAGCCATAAACCTAAATACTTACCTACGTACTCCAATTACGAATATGTCAGTAGATTATGTTTGAGAGAGGAATTATACAACACAATCACAGGTGTCTGTTCTTCGGTTGCCTAGATAAGCATGAGACGTCAGATCAGCTCAGCGTCTTCCCTTTACCAGTGGAAGTAGCTGGCGAGAATACTAAATCTGAGCAGTGGACTAGGCAGTTCCCTACAGAAACCTGTCCTTCCCAAAATGAGTAGGTGGAGACTGTGAAGAGGTGTCAGAGAGTATCAAGATCCTCACTAATTACTTCAGATCCATTCGACCCGAAAGAATACATAGGACTACCCACTGCCTTCCAATCGAGTAATGATGTTTTCGCTCTAGCGCACAACGTCTATACACCGACGAGCCCACTGAAACTAACAGAAGAATTCTGTAGATCCCCCATGTTGGTTAGGTAGGGTAGGGCGATACGAGATGTTAAACTTTTTTATCAGTGAGATCAGTTGTCTTATTTGGAATAAGAGCAGGAGACTGAAAGTCACAATATGAAGTTGACAGTATGACCCTGAAAAACTATAAACGTGTTTCTCTGGTTGAATTCCTTGGCAATAATCACAGTGTCATCGATGTTGCACTAAAAGAGGAAGGAAAGCAAGAATATGGAAGTTGAAGTAAACTGCTGGTACTTTCTGTTGGGGTTAATTAGTTATAACTCAATTACCCAGTACTAAGCTATGAGGTACATTTTGTGTGTGAGAGCTAATGATATCATCTGGTTGCCCAGGTTGAAGTAGGCGGAGTGAGACTTAAACCCGGGACACTAACCGGAAGTAGAGTGCTTTAGCCGAAGAACCGTATCTCATCTTGGGGTACTTGGAGCAGAGAAAGCATTAGTATTGGGTGATCACAGAGCTCAGAAGACAACTACCAGCGACAAAGGGTCTGTTTGTTGGTGCTTTTGGTGTTTTGTTCGTATAGAATACCTCAGTGTTTGCCGCAAAATGTCGTAGGGGGTTAGGGTCTACAGTTTTCAAGCCTTTTACCATTCGCTCCTCTCTAAGGCGAAAAAGCGGCATAACTAGCAGGCTGGTCGTCCAAGAGAAACACATCACTGCTGTTACCCTTCATCCATAAATAGTACGACTTCTCCCTCAGACCCCAAAACCATGTGAACAATTTACACGCTTTCTCCAACCATTATAGCTCATTTCATTGCAATATGTAAGCCTGGTGACTAAGCCAAGGTGATGGCAATCAGTCAAGAAAAATAGGCACAAAACATGGCTATAATTCACGAAGACATTAACAGATTCGAACAACGTAAGCATACGTCGACTGTGTGGAGGTCAAGAAACAGCGAGTTGAGACATCTCAAAGCCTTCTACAACAACGCAGATGTATTGACGGTTTCAGAATTACACTTACCAAACAAGTGCAGTAGTTCAAACTGCCATATCACTTGGAGGATACAAAGGTGGACAAGTAGAGAAAAAATGAAATCAAAAGTAAAGTAATAAGCAGAAACGTGAGAAAGAGTAGTAACCTCGAGAAACAATAGTTTAAATGATATGGGAAATCATATAGAGTGAATTCATCTCCGTCACTGAAAGATTTTGTGCCATATCATTACTAGTCTCTAGCCATTGGTTCTTAGTGTCCCGAGGACCCCAACCACGCAGTCTACAACTTCCTACGTGTCTCAAACTAACTGTCAAAGATTTTATGGACTAATACAAAGTTTTGATTTGGCCACATCTAAATGTTTCTCAACCTAATTTCATCTCGGTTAACACTGGCTGTCTAAGAAGTATATCCTTCAACTGGTTACTCTACATTAATTCCATGTCAGTGACATTTATGCGTATGCTTGGAAAAAGCAAACTTACAGCATGAAGACATATAACGCCACCTGTCTGCACAAACCTAGCTATGTTTGGGGTAGCTGTCGCTCTTGATCCTAAGCCAAATGGAATATAAAAAGCATTTTATCAGAAAAATTCCTTGTCACGTTACAGAATAAGCAGTCAATTCGTATACTCCGAAAAATGGGATCAATCGTAAACAAAAAGTAGCCGGATGGAAGACACCTTGTCTTCTAACAGCATGAGAAACCCACACACAAGACAGGATTAATAAAGACTATTTCTATTTATGAATAGATACTTACTCTACTTATGGCATCAAGGACGTCACTCAAATAATTCAAAGTTTCTTTACGAGTTATTTTCATAACATTGAAAAGGGCTTCACATGCGTAATATCGCACTCGTGGGTCGTTATCATGGAATGTACGAATAATTGGCAGAATGATCGGTCCATGGAAAAGACATGCATGCTAAATAGACGACAACATGAATGTAAATTAGTCCTACCTCGTTAAGCCCAATTGCTACTGAAGCTAAACCTAGCAAGCCGCCTTTCCGAGTATGAGGACTAGCAGAGTGAATGAAATCCTGGCTGAAATATCCGATGATCCTAGAAATATCTGAATGTCGATCTTGACTGATATATTCCTTGATAATCCTGTGTGTGCTAATTACATAATTTACAAATTACCTTTCGACTTCTTGCGAGGCTAGTTTGCGTTTCTCAAAAAGCTTATCCACAAGATTCTTGATGCACGTAGATGACAATGGGGTGTAATCTTTGTCCATAACTAACACCGTGTTAGTGGGGTGAGGAGAAAAACAGCCTGTCGATGACGGATATTTCGGGCAGCCTTGAAAACGAAAGAAGTCGATTTTCCCGCGGAACCTGGAGCACTACTGTTCAATTCAATAATGATACGGCCTGGGCCAGACAATGAGTGTATTTATATATATCAAATATTAAGCTGTTCAAACATTATTAACTTGTAGACAATCTACTATTTGACATTATATCATACTTGATCGTGCCTGTAAAAATGGCATGCATTTTCATGTAAATTTATGTTGATATGAAAATATATATTAGTATTATTATTATAGTAGTAAACGCATAGAGGACAAATTGAAAGTCAAGGGAGTGCAGAGGTACTTCACGTTAAAATTACTCGGAACCGGAAATGATGCGAACTTCTCCACTAGATGTGATACCCTAGGACTAGAAACACTATGGCTAAGACGCCTGAGACTAAACTTAACACTCTACTATAAGCTTCTTCTTATAGATTAAGTGGAAGGCTACTCGAGTGGATAACTTTCTTTCTAACAGGAAGAGAACAGTTAGTTAAAATTAACAATCGTTTGTCGTTTTTTTCCGCGTGGTTTTCGTTTTTATTATTCTTTTTAGTACTCTCACTTTTCAGGATATATCCTCAGTGTCACCGATTACTAATACAAATAGCAACATTTGTTTTATATCTGGACTTACCTTTGTAGTCACTGGATATTATCCTTGCTACTTTTACTGTCTCAGATTACTGATTAAGGTATTACCACATCGAGCATCTGACTTTCATTGCCCATATTACACTTGCCTTTTGTTTTGACATAAAATCAAACAACTTAAATCTCATATACTTGCAGTCCGGCAGTTCTGTATTAACTTTATACAAAATGCCAGTTAAGCTATCGAAGCGTCGTGCTTCATTATCGGTTGAAAGCTTCAGCAAAAGACATAAATCTAGCAAGCCTAAACAGCATGGTACTACACTTTCCCCTGATCTGACACAGATGCTAAATATGTCAAAATCGGAAATCATTACCTCTTCACCTTCTTGCGTAATTAATGATTTTATCAGGGATATTTACAATAGTACAGGTTGTGAACCAAGCGTTTTGGATTCCTACCAAGCCACACTGGCTGTTAATAAAAAGTCTGACACCGGCTCCTCTGATGTGGTTGAATCTACATCCTCCATTTGCCCTGCTCAGGACTGTCAGTTAGAAGGTCCGAACATACATGTGGCCTCACTATCATCTATATATACTAATATCAAATCTTTTGGCTGTGTCAAAAGAAATGTTAACTCCCCCAATTGCTTAGTAACCTTAGACGTTGATCTTGATAATCATTGCAATACACAGGCAGATTTACTGTCATCTAGTTCCATTCAATTGGATGCTTTTGAGCAGGCTACACATATGCCGGTACAGAGGGCAGATTGCAGCACCACCGCTACTTTTAACGATAAAGCCCCCCATGGCAAAAATTTCCATCGGTCATCAATGACCCATGGACATCAACCTAATGCCAAATTTGAAAAAACAAATTGCTCATTACCTACGCAAAACACATCCAACCAAGCCAATAGCCTGGAAAACACAAACATCCTTCCGTTAGTCCACGATCTCCTACCCCTTAGGTATCTGATAAAGCCTGATGATTATCCTGACTATGATACGCTACAGTCTTGTGAGAGAATTATAGACCACATTTCCACGGAAGTGATCAAGCGGGTTCAGTGCATGTATAATGCAATTGTTTTCAATCTGCCCGACAGTATGAACATTAAAACATTGAAAAACACACTTTTAAAGGCATGCGAAATGCCAGATTCCCATTGTACCTGCAAACGACTGTGTAAATCTTCCGCTGATACATCTTGTCCAACAATGTTCGAGTTTAACAGCATTGTGGATGCTAGTCGCTTTGTAAATAATCAGCATCTCTTTAGGAAAGCAAGTAGCTTTAAAAATATGCGTATTATTCACGACGGGACACAAATCCAGCGTCGTGCCAAACAAAGTATCCCAGCAGATGAAATAAATCACCAAAAGGATACCACCGGTCCCACTGATGTCAGTAAAAAACACCATCTAAACCTTATAAGAAGCCCTCCACCTAGTTACCCTAAAATGAAGCTTGATATGGTTACCAATACTAAATCTAGTATTTCTCCAGATGTTAAACAACCTGAAAAGTACTCACTTGCTGCGAAAGGTACCAATAAAAATCTCACCCACCATGCTAGAATTGTCGAAAACCCTTGTAATACCTTCACATCTAGCTCTGAGATTCTGAGTAAAAATGTAAGGAACAAAATTCCTATGCCTGGCATACACTCCGTCAAGCCTGGTTCAGCGTCCCCTATCACTCATACGCTTAAATCTCCTAAAAGGACGTCTATGGTATCAAATAGAACTGAGATTAGTCAACCTTTCTCATTCTCTTTTCCTCACCATTTTAATACAAATAGTTGCGCCTACCCAACTTCTACTATGAGGTTGCGTAATACCGAATTTAACTTTGCCCATATTCCTGGTGCACAACCACATGGACTCAGTCGCCTAAACTTTCAGCATAGCCTGCTTGGGGATCCACCCAGTAAATGCTACTACCCCAGAAACACACTCCCCCGACACCAAAACCGTCTTTACAACTTTCCAACTAATCAATCACCTCACCATTTTTTCCCTTTTCCGCACCCGGCAGTAATGCCATCAATCAACCTGATGTCAAACAGTCTGTTTCCTTACTCTCAAATGTGCCCTCTTCAGACACCCAGGATACCCCAGTTTCCGTATGCCTATCTCCATGCGATCGTGAACTGAGCGATCAACCATGGAAACCATCTTCTTTTTCACATAACCTTAACGAAAACGATGAAGGCTTTATGGAACGAACACTCGATGTACCGGTCAGACTCATCTAATTTTCATTTAACCTCAGCTGAATCACATCATCATCTCCTTCACTTCGGCTCAGCCCTTACCATTGATCAAAGATCATTTACTCTTTTCCTTATAAACGCTCGTTCTATCTGCAATGAAATTCCGTACCTTCACTCCTTACTTCCACTTTGTATGCCCTCAGTACTGTTAGTTACTGAGACCTGGTTACCATCTGACTTCAATGACAGACTGTTAGAATCACCAGGATACACACACTTTAGACATGGTAGAGAAGAAGGACGTGGTGGTGGTTGTCTTATCTTTGTTAGCAACAAATTCCACGCTGTAGAAGTTGATGATTTGGGTTGCTCACTTACAGACGCAGTTTGGGTTACACTCAACACTAACTTAAATACAAAACTTTTATTGGGATGTATATACCGCCCGCCCAATTCTGATACTAACACAACGAACCATTTGTGTGAAATTTTCGAACACGTCTCCTCTCTAAACTTTGACTATAAAATAATAGCTGGTGACTTTAACATGCCCGGTATCCAGTGGAATAGGCTAAATATTCCTAAACACCAATCGTTTTATAAATTCGGTTGAATTCTATGGATGGACACAAAATGTGAATCACCCCACACGTAAATCCAACATCTTGGATCTAATCTTCACACGCAACATCCTCCCCGTCAGCACTCGAGTTGGGCCTTTATTCCCTGGTAGCGACCACAACACGGTAATTTCCACCTTTAACTTAGCAGCAAATGGATCAGGCAAAGGCCGTCGTCGGACAGTAAAAGTCAGAGACTTTTCAAAGGCTAACAACGCAATCTTTAATTCGTTGCCAAGACTGGGATACCTTTTTCTCCTCGGTAGACATTGATACTGTCCTTGACAGTTTCTACTACAACATATCAGTTTGCTTCAACGAATCTATCCCTTGGTATACATCCAAAGGCAACCGTGTAAATCAACTATATATACCGAATGCTACCAGGAACAAGCTAAGAAGACTCCGTAAAACCTATAATAAATATATGGACTTCTCCTCGCTCATTAGCATCCTAAAGGTATATGATAAAATCAGATCAGATAACGCCAGTAAAATTTACAAAGAAGAACTTGTCGCCCTTAAAAGTAGCTGCAAAATTAGCTCTCTATGTAAACTCTTCCAAAAAGGACTGCAACAAAAACAAGGTAACATTCCTTAGATTTCTCATAATAATGTTGCTGTTAAGGATGATGCAGGCATAGCTGAACTCTTTAACAAGCACTTTTCTGACTCGTACACGCACGATATTTCCGCATGCATCGAATTTGACTCTGTAACAGAAAAAACACTGTCGAATATATGCTTGACTGTTGATGTTATAAAAAGTGCAGTCAGTTCATTGAAATTCTCCAATACTCCTGGACCTGACCCTATTCCCTCATCCTTCCTAAAAAATGGTGGCTCTGATCTCCCTCTGCTTTTGCTTAAGATATTCTCAACGTCCCTTGTGAATGGAGTTTATCCTTCCAAATGGAAGCAGACATACATTATTCCTAGATTTAAATCCGGCTCAAAATATGATGTTAAGAATTACAGGCCGATCAATATAACGTCTGTCTTGTCAAGGATACTTGAGAAGATAATCAGTACCAAAATCACTGACTTCTTATTGACTGAAAACCCCATAACACCTTCTCAGCATGGCTTTATAAAGTCCAGGTCATGTATGACTTGCCACTTAGAACTATTCGATTTTATAACTGGACTTGCAGACCAAAAATTCGTTGTGCTCATAATGTATATTGATCTTAAGAAGGTCTTCGATAAAGTATGTCATAATTTACTCCTGCGGAAACTTAAGGCTTACGGTATATCTGGCAATCTCTTACAGTGGTGCGGTTCATTTGTGTGTGGTCGGCCCCAGTCTGTTAAGATTAACGACACTTTTTCCAGTACCACTCCTATATCAAGTGGCGTGATTCAAGGTAGTGTACTAGGACCTCTCTTCTTTCTTATATACCTAAATGACGTCTGTGATGTTATAAAGCACGGCAGACCTTTCTTGTATGCCGACGACTTGAAGATAGTCTATCACAGTGCCACCCAAGAAGTGACAAATCTGTCTCACAAAATCCAATCGGATATTGATAATATTGAGACATGGTGTAAGTCGTGGATGATGCAGATCAACGTGGAGAAGTGTGGACTGTTATGCCCAGCTCGATTAC